CGCGGCCGCCGCCGCGATCGCTGCCGCCGCAGCAGCCGCCGCCGCCGCCGCGGCCGCCGCCGAGAGCTTCGAGGAGGAGGAGGAGCTGGACAGCCCCGCCGACGAGGAGGATGGCGAGCGCAGCGGCCGCGCGCGGGACTCGGACGAGGGTGAGGCGCGGCCCGGTCCGCGGGGAGCGGAGCCCTGCCGCCGAGGCCCGCGCGCAGCCGGCTCGGCCCTCGCCGACTCGCGAGCAAGCCCGCGGGCTTTGCACGGCAGCGCTCCGCGGGGCACCCTGGCCGGGGCCGCGGGCCTTTTCCCCAAGTGGTTGCGCGCCAAGGAAGGGCGGCAGCGGCGAAAAGCGCATTGTGGGCGTCGTTCATGCGGGAGGGAGCCCGGGGATCTTCCGTGGGGCTGGCCCGTGAGTAAATCGGTAGCATCCCGTGGTGACTTGAATCAGAGCAGGTCCCGGAAAGGCACGATCTGGAGTTGTTCTCATTCATTTAGACGGGGCTGCTCTAAGGCTACTTCGGATGAAGCCGTGTTAGCCGTGGTGCACCCCCCCCCCCCCCCCCCCGGTTTCGGGACCCTGAACAAGACCCCCTCGATGAGTTCCTCCCTTAGCCAATCTCCCTTCTCCCCGCTCTGTGAACAACTGCTCTTGCAGGAGTGGTCTTTAGGCTGCCTTGGGTTCTTTGCAAGAAAAAGGGCTGGATATAAATAAAATGAATAAAATCCATCGTTTGCTCCTTTTTCTCCCCACCACTGGTATCTAGGCCAGGGCAAGTAGGTTTATTTATTTACTTACTTGCTGTCTGGTTGGTTTACAGAGTTTAGCAGCATATCAACAAGCAACAAAATGACCATTTTTAAATAAAACTATAAAACAACAGCATCAACAACAACAATCCACAACTGCTATAATCAAGCTGGTGCATGGCACAGCAGCAGTAATGATGAAAACAAGTTAAAAGTAACAATTGTCTGTTAAAATATTTGGAAAGTGGAAAGGTTTTCACTTGGTGCCAAGAAGAAAAGAGATGACACCAGGCATGCCTTTTTGTGGGGGCTAAGGAGGTGGCAGGGGCCGGCAGAGAGCGAGGGAAGAGCATCCAAGCGGAGTTCACTTTCGGGTGGCTACTCCAGGGTGGCCCCTCCCCTCACGCTGGCCTGTTTCCCTGCAGCAGCCACAGGATCCCCCCCCCCCCGTGATGTTTGGTTGGGCCTGAGACTCCAAATGTTGGCTGGTTGAGTGGGTGGCTTGTAGTTGTAGGTCACATGATGATAATGAATTGCCTAACTTTAAGTCTTGCTTTAGGAATTTCATAAATTCTGTAAATTATGTTTCGTGGTTCATGTAGTGTTGTGAACTCTTGTACCTTATTTTACATTGTATTTTATTATATTTTGTATATTGTGCTAAGGTATTTTGTGAACTGCCTTGAGTACCTTTTATGGCTAAGTGGCTGTATAGAAATTTAATTTCATAATAAAATAATACTAACTTTTAGGTTGCAGTGGGGCAGACGAGGAACAGTTCCAAGGGACCCTGGGCGGAGGCCTGGGCCTATGGCAGATTCTTGACCATTTTATTTATTTATTAAAAAATTTCTATGCCGCCCCATTCGCCGAAGCCTCGGGGTGGCTCACAACATAAAATTAAAATACAACAAATAACAATATAAAATAAAAATGTCTACCCTGACTGTGAAGTAGAGGGTATAAAATTGCATGGCTCCCCCACTGAAGTGTTGAATGAGGCCCAATTTGTGGCAAGATAAGTGCTAGCTCAGGTTTTCAAGGGCCCTTGGGCAAGACATGGCTTTCTCAGGGAGCCTCCCTTCTTATCACTGTTGTCAGGGACTGTTCCTCCTCCTCCTCCTCATTGCTAGCTTGACAGGCAGGGAGCCAGTGAGCAAGCGTGCCAGGGCGTCTCCTGCCCTTCCTTCTCACTGCTACTGTTGTGGCACAGAGTCAGGGCAGGTGAACAAGCAAGTTGCAGTGATGGAGAGGAGAAGCAGGTCTAGGGAGATGCAGCCAGAGGTGGTCCACTGGGATGTGGGCCCTTGGCAAATGCCCAAGCGTGCCTAGGCTTGACACCAGCTCTGCTTCCTGTGCATTGTTTATTCACGATTTAGCTCTTTTGCTTTTTCCTAGGTAAATCTGAGAATGCAAGGTAGCAACTTTGACCTCTCATTGGGTGTAGTTAATCTTGAGGAGTGCTTTGGGGCAGATTTCCAATGCCCATATAGAGAGGAAGCCTCATGAAATGTGTAACTTTTATTTGCCAGTAAGCTCTGTTGGAATGGGATTTAATCTCATTTCCAGGTAGCAGCAAATTGTGACACTCCAGATTTTTGAGGCTTTCAGCTTTCATTGCACCTCACTGTTGCTTATGTGGGCCAGGGCTGATGGGATTGGTAGGCCAAAACATCTGGAAGGACACAAGTTTTCCACTTGTGGTGTACAAGTATGTGGTCTAACTGGATCAGAGGAACAAAACCTCTCTCTGCTTTGGAGGTATGCAGCAGAAGAGTCATGAGTGGGGTTGAGTGATAAAAGTATAGCGATCGCTTGTTCCAGCCAAAAGTGTGAATGCTCCTTCAGTAGCCCGTTTTTGTGTGATATAAATAGTTACTTTCTTAGAAATGTGTGTCTCAGACTGCATCTGGCCTGTGGTCCTGTCCCCATGTTTGGTCCACACGGTTCTGTTGCTTTTCATATAGGGCACAGTTCTATGCTTACTCAGACAAGTAAAAGCCCTACAACTCCCAGCCAGTGGTAGGACCTTTGTCTGTCCCAATCTGCATGGGATTTGGATAAGGATGTCAGGCGAGACCCGTTTCAGCCACGTTTGTGGCCCAGGAGCAGACTGCCTTGTGCCCTCTGGACGTTTTAGGCTGCTAGCTCTGGCCAGCGTGCCCAGTGGCCTGGGATTATGGGAGTTGAGGTCCAAAACTTTTGGAGGCAATCCTGTTGTCTACTTTAGATTTAACTTATAATTACTTGGAAGTAAAATTACTGATTGCTGTAGGGTCGTCACCTAAGTATGACCCTTTTCCCCACATAGGTGAGCTGGGTCATGTTTGCTTTTTTAAGTGCTCCTTCTTTATCATTATCTAATTTATACCCAATGGCCAAAGCTGTCTGGGCAGTTTGCATCAAGTCATTGCAAACAAACAACCAAAAGAAACAAAAATAAAACCAATTACCCAAAGAAGCATGCTGTATTTCAAATATACAAACTTTAAAAATGATTTCATAACTGAAACATATTAAAAAAAACTGGACCTCTTAAAAACAACTGACGTGAAGTGCTCCATCATGCCATTAAATACCTTAACATGTCATTAAATACTTGGGACAAGACTGCAGTATTGACCTGGCACTGCAAAGATGGCAGAGCTGGTGTCAGGCAGTGGGCAGCTCATGCCACAACCAAGGGGCCACAGTTGAGAAGGCCTTCCTCCTTGTTGCCTTCCTCCAAGCCTGCCTTAGAGTTGACACTTGGAAGTCTTCAGGTATTGATACAGTGCACTGTTAATGCATGGAATCCTCTGCTACAAGTCTTGCTTTTATTTAGGACAGCTCTAACCTGCTTCTCCAGGATGCTTGTGGAGACTTTTCATGAGGGGAACATGTCCCCAGCCCCCAAAGGGCTTGGCCCTGCCAAGCAATACTTGCAGGGGTTCAAGTTCGGTTATGAGATGGTGCGGTGTGAAGGCTAGCTAAATAACTGAAGGCTAAATCATCTCTGAAAATAACAGTGGCTTGCAAGTGGCTAGGAGAGGCCTGTGGCTCTTTGGTTGTGTTGAAGTCAAAGCTGATGAACTATATTAAGATTAAAGGGTCTGTATAGAATGAATATCAGACGGAACCGCTGTTAAAAGTAACCTCTTGTACCATGCTGTATAAAGTTTGCCTTTTCGTACTTTCAGGGTTTGATTTAACAAAAATAAAAGACTGCACGGGTGTCCAAACAAGCCCCTTAATTCATGTACTTAGTTATTTTTAACAATGTGGGCAGAGCATGCAGGCCTGTTTTCAGTCAGGTGGGTGGGAAATGCCTCACAAAAATGCTCCCCTGACTCTGTTCTGATGTTCATGTTGCCCAGATACTGAAGATGCAAGTGAGACGGACCTGGCAAAGCACGACGAGGAGGATTATGTCGAGATGAAGGAACAGTAAGTGTTCTCTCTCCTCCCTCCCCCACCCGCCACCCTTTTTGTTGTAAATATATTTAATGCTTTTTCCCCAATGGGGGAATGACCAGCCAGGGTGACTGACTCAAAACTGATGCTTGAGAATCCAGCAGTGAAGCACCTGGAAGAAAATGAGGCCACTGAGCAGTGGATGTCCCAAAAAGCGGAGCTGTTAAAGCTTTATAACGAGTGGCTGCGGGCAAAAAGGGTGCCGCTTCCTGCACTTTTGTAGCTCCCTCCGCCTGGTGTTGATTCAGCCAGCCTCAGATTTCCCTCTTGGAACTTTGTGGATACTCTGCAATCCAGCTTCTTCCCTTTGTGCTGCACTCAAACTCATCTGCATTAAAATTGCTTTGCCGCTGATCATGCAAGTCTGCCCTTTCTCCTCTTTGACTTCTCTTGCCACTTTTATGATAATACACCAGTGTTTCCAGGAGGTTCTCTTTCTCCCCTTGAAATCATTCATTCGGTGCTTCCTGAAGGGACCTCTTGTAACCCCCACTGGGGTCCTGTTCTTGACCCCATGCTGTTGTGCCATCCCGGCGGTCTGGGGCGATGGTTTCGGTAATCCCCTGGATGCTTCTGGCATATGCTTCTTATAGTGGAGACCTTTATTTTTTCTGTTACTGTTCATAGCAGCTGATAAGATCATAAACCAGACACAAGAGCCTTGGCTTTCTTCTATTTTCAGCCATCTCCTTTGCTCTACATATTCTATGTATTGCCAAGTCGTGTTTCTCTTCTTAAGCAGTAAAAATCTCTCCCTCTCTCTATATTTCCATGACTAGAAGTCTGATTCATGCCCTGCCTTTCTTCTCTCCTGCCGTCTCTTATTATGCCTTAGTCCTGTCGCCTTTCAGAACTCTGCTGCCCAATTCCCAGACCTTGTGATGTTCATCCCATCCCTGTCCCAACATCAAATCACCCTTTCTAAGCCCCTTCTGTGCTATAATGTGCGTTACAGAGTTTGTTTGCCCTCCCACCCCCCCTCTAGCATGGCTGGGAAGAGGGGATTAAAAGCTCCCAGTTTCGGTAGCCTGCAGTTTAGCAGGCTGCCCAAACACGAAATGCTGCTTTTTATTAGCTGTGCATTCATATGCATCTCCTGTCCTCACCAGTTTAGTCCAGATGCTTATGAAGAGACTGCTTATGTTTCTATATATACTTGAAATAGAAGTGCATATTCCTTGTCTCCTCCTCTTTATTTTCTTTCTTTTATTAATGGTATGGTGGCGATTATTATGTGTTGATATGTTTTATAGCATGCTCTTGCTTTTGTTTTCATTTCTCTGTCTTTTTATGTCCCTTCCTTTTGTTGTTGTTGCATGTGAAGTAAACAAAAAGCATTCTGGAAACAGCCAGCTCCCTGCATTCTGAAATTGCTTGTTCTATAAAGTAGCGTTATTTCTGAACCAACCCAATGAACCGCCACACTGAACTTGTAAACATACTGATGGCTCCTCCCTTGTTTATGCAGTATATGTGCTTTGGGACCATAATGGTTTTCCATTCACAGTTCAAATCTTTTGGCTTGTCTGGTGCATTTTCAGTTGTGCCTTTGGTGCAGTATCTTTTTAGCAGTCCCTTGACATTGCCTCTGGGCAATATTTTGTGTAATACTTAGATACTGTTCTTGACATCTGAGCACCTAATTATGATTACCTGGATTTTTTGTTTAATCTAGTAAAAAGCAGTAAAGTTCTGCCATGGGTGGTGGTGGGGCAGGCAGGTCATATTTTTAGGTATCGGCGTCTTGCTTCTTATTTATTTATTATTTATTTAAAACTTTTGTATCCCGTCCTATACATACAAGTCTCAGGATGGTCCAACAGCAAAGGTATGGCTTCATATCTGTAATAAAAACCCAGCTAAAATAAAAAGTAGATCTTAAAATAATGGGAAAATTAAAAGGCTTTGGCCTGGTGCCAGACAGAAAGAGTCAGTGCCTGGCGCATCTCTGTGGGGAGTATATTCATTCCACAGCATTCTCCAGGTTGCCAATCTCCTGAGCTCCTTCAGGGAGGGCTCCCGGAGAAGGGCCCGGAAGGAGATAGGGAAGGAGATGCTCCTTCAGATAACCATGTGCTAAACCATTTAGGGCTCTATAGGGCATCACCAACACCTTAAATTGGGCCCAGACTTCAGTTGGTAGCCAGTGTAGATGGTAAAGGACTGGCATTATGTGTGCATATTCTTTCTAAATTAAAAATAACAAATTTATATTGCTCAACTGCATTTAAGGATGTAATTCTTTGGATATTAGATAGGAAGAAGTTCTACAATTTGTTGCATTCACCAGTCAACCTCACTGCCCTGAGAATGCTGGGAGTTGTAGGGCTTCTCTCCTTTCTTTTGCCTCCTTCAGCCAGTTCTTGTGACATTGAAAACATAGTAAAGCAAAGACTAAGAAAAATAGAAGGTGAAATAAACTGTTTGCATTTATTGAGCCTGTTTCTTTAATGTGTATTTTCTTTGCAGGATGTATCAAGATAAATTGGCATCACTGAAGAGGCAGCTCCAACAACTGCAAGAAGGTTAAGATTTGTACATCTTGAAACTTGATATTTATCCATTGCTACAAGTGGAATTTTAGGGCAGACTTTTAATTTTATTTTGCCCTGATCAGAATGTTGCATGCTTTCAAACTGGGCCATCCAGTTCATTAGGAATATAGGAAGCTGCCAGGTTAGGCCATTTATCCTTCAGTCGAGCAGCTCACTAGGGTCTCAGGCAGAGAGAGATCTTCCCCCTCACCAGCTACCTGATCCTTTAAACAGAAATGCCAAGAACTGGATCCAGCACCTTCTGGGTGCCAAATCGCACTGATTTCTGATCGCCACAGAATTGAACTGGCTGAAAAAGGTCATTTTCCCTGATCTGGACCAGTGCTCAACCTTTCTTGACTAGAGATAGAACTGCTCTCAAGCTGAGCTTTCAGCACATACCAACTTTAGCATATTTGAATATAAAAAGCCTGGGGGAGTCTCAAAGATGACTTCCACTCCCCCAGTCTATGGCTGAGGGCGCACATCTGGGGAAAAAACCCACCAGCCTGGAATGTCTTGTGTTTTCCATAACCAAGTGTGTCATCCTTCACATAGTCTTTAAACCACATTTTTAAGCAGATAATTGGCTTGCTTTCCTGCTCTGCACAGATTCTGGGGGGAATTAGTTGTTCCCACTTCTTATCTGTATACTTCCTAGCACCATTTTTAAAAAATATGGGATGTCTAAAAAGTTGTGGCGTGTAAGGGCACGCTGGTCGTTGCTGGGACTTATTTCATGCCTGCTTCCACCCTTGCACAGTAGCCTAACCCCACTCTTTTCATTAGTCTTTGTTCGTCTGGATAATCAGGTGTTGCTTTTCCCTGGCTTGGCTTGCTGTTTTGGAGACCCGGGGTGCTGGTTCTAGTTTTCCTGAGCCTGATCTGTGTATCAATTGGCAGTTGCAGTGGATGAATGAATCGGTCTATTTCACCTTCTCTCACACTTGCTTTTTGTAAAGCTCATGCTTTTTTCTGTCCTTTTGATGAAGCGGTTATCAATTTTGGTACGTTCTTTTTGAACGATTTGCCCAACATGATCTGGAGCCACCATATTCAATAGGAACAGCTCTTCCCTGCACGGAGAGGGCCACATTGTACCTGCCTGCCATATAACTGTTCTGGGTTAAACTGTCAGGAAAAAGAGGAGGTGCTTTCTAATCCAGCACTATAAATATGGGTGAATAAACAGGGGACACGCTTTGAAGAGCAGACCAAGGAAAGCCCTCTGCCCAAATGGGCCAGTTTTGCCTCCTCCAAATTTGAATGTTTTAATCTCAAATTCTTCTTGTCCCGTTAATGAAAAAAGTGCAGATTTTGGCAGGTTCTTATAAAAGTGATATTTTTGTTTGTTGAAGCTTGATATTGCACAAATAACTGTTTATACTTTGAGGGCTGTACACTGTATGATTTCCATAGACTTTTCTTTGGAGAGGCAAGAGTAGTTTCCCCCATATCCATTCCAGACATTTGCTCTCATCAGGCTTGATATTTGATGACTGTGCAAAGCTAGGAGAAACATGAAAAAAGAGTGTGCTTCAGAGTGCTTTTCAGTGACATAATTTCAGTACCTCATTTTGAAATATTGTAAATAGGTACTTTACAAGAATATCAGAAAAGAATGAAAAAGCTGGATCAGCAGTATAAGGAGAGGATACGCAATGCAGGTGAGCAAACTGGATTTCTGAGGACTTGGTTGAGACCTTTCGAGTCAGTCTTAGGAAAGTGCATTATAATATCCATAATATTTGTTCAGCGTTAGACTATCATGTTTACGTGTGATATGTTCTCATCCTAAGGACTTTGAGAGGGCTAGTCATGCTAGCCTGTTATAGTAGTGTAACACTGGAGACTTTTAGAACCTTAAACACGCACGTATTATGGTGTGCATTTTACGTTCTCCTGGGCTGGAATTCACATCCTCAGATGAGTCTGAAGTGCATACAGACATAAAAGCGCATATCATGAAATGAGCTCTCATTTGCAAAAGCTTCGGCCAGAATTAATGTGATTGTCTGTGAGGTGCTGCAGCTTGCTTTGTTTTCATTCTGACCAGATTCTTGGGAACAGCTGGTATACATTTCAATGGGAGTTGTTTCTCTACCTTGAACTAATCCTAAAGGAGCTTTGTGTTCCGCCAAAGGGGGTGCCATGGCAATCAGTGCTTCCTTTCTACAGCTGTGTCACTCTTGCAGCACCATGTTATACATGTCTGCTCAGAAGTAAAAGCCAGTGCACTTGATAGGACTTATTCCTGGGAAAGTGGGTATAGGTTTCTGCCAGAATTGATATCAACTAATACAGTAGAATTTGCACGTGTTGTCTAGTCCGTGGTGCCTTAAAGATTGACTTAGTGCAAGCAGAGGTGCACTTGAGTGAAATGTTTTCATTCTAGCAATAATGACCTGTACTTTTCCTGTAGATCTGCAATCATCCAAGCGTTTATTCTAAACTAGCCACGTGGAGATTTTACTGGAGTTGCATATTTCCTGCAAATAAACCTAATTTGTTCTCTTTTTCCCCAGAGCTTTTTCTCCAGTTGGAAGTAAGTTTGTCCTTCTGTTTTGTTCTTTTATTTGAGCATCTTGTTTTGTTCTCTGGGCTGGATCCAGACTTTCCCATCCTTATTATAGAAATCTAGGAGTCTATGCTATGTATTAATTCAATTGCTTTTGAATAGTACTTTATTTCCTCTAAAGATATTGCTTGCATATACTTGCTGTAGAGTATTGAACAAACCATTTTCAAAGGAATCTCTAAATAGAGTAGAATGAACCCCTGATAATTTGAGAATAAGTGTTTGCGAATGCTAAACATTCTGTCGTTGTTCTTTCACACTATGTCTATTTTGGTAGTTCAAAATGCGCATATAAAACCTCCTTTGCAATATGGTGCATTCAGCTTTTCTGTGAATGTTAAGCTGAAAGTGGCCATTAATAATGTGAGGGCTGCTCAGTTAGTTCCCAGCTGCAAAATGTAGCAGAACCGGCAACCCTAAAGAGCATCTGTAGCTTTCTCCTCGGTGATGTTAGCTATGATGGCCATGCAGAGCTTCCAGGTTCAGAGGTGGGATTCTTCTGCTAAGTGGTGGAGCACAAGGGAGAGGCTCCCACCTTACTATCTTACCTGTGGGTTTCTCAGTGGCTTTAGGCCATCCACACTGAAAATGGGGTACCCTGCTTGATGAGCCCTTGGCCTAATGCAGTAGGTGGCTTTAATGAGGCAGTGGGGAAGAGACAGATTGCTTGTTTTGTGAACAGTGGTTCCCTTTTTTGTTTGTTTGTTTGCTAGCTGAAGCTTTCTGGGCAGTTTTTAGCAACTGAAACAATAAAATCCTACATAGTAGAATAGAATAGAAGATGTTCAAAATGTAAAGCTGCAGTATAAAATCACAGCGAAAAATCAGAAGCCACATAAAGATGTAAAATGCAGTAGATTTTAAATCAGTAAGAACCCAAGAACTAAAATGCCTTGGGGACTAAAAAGGCACTGAAAAGACCACAGTGTAGGTGCCAGGTGAGCCTCTCTGGGGGAGGGTGTTCAACAGTCAGGATATCACAACTGAAAAGACCCCTCTCTCTTAGCCACCTGCCTTGCCTTTGGCAGAGGCAGCTGTGGGAGGGCTTCAGAAGACTATCGAACCATCTGGGTAGGTGTACACAGGTTACCTGATCCTCCAGGTACCTGGCTCCAGACTGCTCATGAGAGCCTTTTCCAACCTGGTGCCCTCCAGATGTGTTGGATTATAACTCCCAGAATCCTCCAGTCAGAATAGTTGAGGCAGGGAGCGCTATAGGAGTCTGGAGAATTCTGGGAGTTGTAGTCCAACACCTGAAGTGGGCACCAGATTAGTGAAGTCTGGTTTACAGCTTTAGAAGTTAATACCAGTACTTAGAATTGGGCCCTGACATATGAGCCATTTGCAGTAAAGTAGGCAAGTTGTTAGACCAGCTTTATTTTTTTACAGTCTGGATTGGCCATTTTCTCACCTTCCCCTCCATCAGTCCAGCTTCACTTGCATATGATAACCATTTTGATGGAACACTTGGCAGCGGACTGGTGTAGCTCATGACCCTGTGGTTTTATACTGAAGTAGCCTCAGGTGCACTTCTCTTGTTTGTGCCTGTGCCAGACGGAGCAGGTGGAAAGAAACTACATCAAGGAGAAGAAAGCAGCTGTGAAGGAATTTGAGGATAAAAAAATTGAGCTGAAGGAAAACTTAATAGCTGAATTGGAAGAGAAGAAGAAGATGATTGAGAGTGAGAAGCTCACCATGGAGCTCACGGGAGGTAGGTGACGGATAAGCGTCCTGCATCCCTTTGGGAAAGGGACCGCATCTTGGTGGCTGAGCACAGGTGTTGTGTGCAGTACGCCCAGGCTCCTCCCCTGGTGTGTTCAGTTGAAAAGATCCTTTTTGCCTACGACTCGAGTTGGAGAGGACTCAACTGGGCAAAACGGCAAATAGCCTGAGAGCCACTTCCCACCATCCTAGCTCTGTTTCCTCAGAAGTAACTGGCACCCATCTCAGTGGAATGTGCTTCCAACTTAGGCTTGCAGTTCTAACTGTTCAGTGCCTGGGTCACAGGTCTGCCGCATGCCCACAGTGCTGGCACACTCTGGGATAATTCAAAGCACAAGAAGTCAGGTATTCTATGTGGGCCATTCCATGCATGTTTAGATGGGAAGCAGCTGGTATGCCGGGCATTTTCGGACATTTTTTCCATTGAACGAGCAAAGGATCCCAACTCTTGTGCTGGCACAAGGTGTCATGTTGTGGCTCTCCTGCCTCTCCCCTGTTCCCATTGTTGTGCTGGTCACACTGAGTGCGGGAAACATTCGGTTGGCTTAGGACCGCAATGCCTGCCAGAGAGCCTCTTCCAACCCCATTCTATGTAGTCACCATGCTCAAGGGGTTTGGAGGGTGGCACCTGGGGAGGACCTTTTGAGGTAGCCCCCGTCTTTGGAACAACCGCCTTGCTGTGGCCTGCCCAGCACCAGCTTTGCCATCTTTGCAGCAGCAGGTCAAGACAGCCCTCTTTCTGGAGGCCTTTCAGGATCTCAGTTATCCAGGGACATAAGAAATGTATCCTGGTAATTTGTCTTAGGCTTATCTTATTATATTTGTACTGCATTTTTAAGCTTCTCCTCCTCAATTCTAATCCTTGTAACCTTGCTGTGTTGTGTATTCTATTGTTTTGTTTTAGATTGTTGTGAACTGCCCAGAGAGCTCTGGCTACAAGGCAGTACTGAAATGAAGTAAACAAAATAATAAAAATAACATCTGCCTAAACATACATAGGGTTGTGTTGTAAGTCTTAATCCAATTAGAGGCCAAGTCAAGCTAAATGTAATCTGGCATGAAAGAGAGGACTTTCCTAGAGAATCTACTATAGAATTGTTGGCTTGTGCCTCATTTTTTAAAACGTGTGGCCCTTGCCAATGGTGTTTCTGCTGTGTTCCAGATTCCATGGAAGTGAAGCCTATCATGACAAGGAAACTGCGGCGACGGCCAAACGACCCTGTTCCCATCCCTGACAAAAGGAGGAAGCCAGCCCCTGATATCCTTTGAGAGCAAGGATGCTGTGCTGAAGTCCGTAAACTAGACCAGCAGCTTCCCAGCACTGTTCTGGACAGCAGTAGAATTTGCTGATGAGTGATGTAGAACTAGTGCCCCAGAAGGACCGCTTAAAGTTCTCAAAGATAAAGTTCTTCCCCTGTAGGAGAGGCACCATGCTGGGCAGCAGTGAGGCCTAGTAAGCATGGCTTGTTCCTTGGGACCAAAAGGTCTTGGGATAAGGATACAGGAGCAGGTGAGAGAGAGAAGGAAACTGCCCAATAACAAGAACTGCTTCCTATCCGAGTCGACAAGACTGAGCTAGATGGACCTGTAGGCAGACCCATTTAAGTCAGCTTCTGATGTGCAGAACTAAATGTCTCCTTATTTATTAGGTTCATATTGTCAGGAGGGATGTGGGAGAAATCCACAGAATTTGGTTGATAGATTCTGCAGCAGAATGGCTTGTCTCAGGTCACGCAGATTCTGCAGACTAGCAAGCTTTTTAAAATGTCTCTCATTTGACACTGTTTTGGTCATAGAAAAATACAAAACACACAGCCTGAAAATGTCCCACCACCACCCTGGCCACAGCATGAAGATACACGTTTGGGGAGGGTTCCTTTGTTTTCTGTGGGATTAGTGCATGATGGGGCGTACATTTATGCAGGTGCAAATGCTCACAAATCCATTTACACAAAATCTGATTCAGCCATTGCATGGATAATGGAAGGAAAAGTGCCTGAATATCCACAAAACGTAGACAGAATGTACCTTATGGAATTTGTAGCTTCTTAATTGCTAATTTAAAACAAAACAAAACCTTACTAGTTTTGTGTACCCTTGGGGTGGTTTCAAATCATTAAAGAAAAGAAAACAGCTGTAAAATAAAACAACACAATGGTAAGAATAGCAAAGTAACGCAATGTGACGCATTGAAAACGTTGACCCAGCAGCAAATGAATGAAGTGGCAGATGGAAGAGGAAAGGCGGCTTCGTCCCCTCCACGGAAATCCGTGCAGCGGAGATGCTGGGCAGGCATGCCACAGATGGAGGTGGGGGAGTCGCTCTAGAGAAGCCCCTTGTCACCCCATTCTTAGTTGCGCTCCCCCCGGTGTGCCTGGATTCTTGCTAAGCCTTCTCGACTCTCAGAGCCGAGCCTGTGAAAAGCTGGTGGTCCCGTCCCTTGTTGCGGGGCTGCCGGATGAAAGAAGGCACAGCACCTCCGAGGCTGGCGGTGAAGAGCTCCTCAGAGGTCGTTGGCCATCTCAGCTATGCTTAGCCCTGTCCTTCGAGGATGGCAAGCAAGTTTGCCCTTTGACTGGACGGGGTTAAAACGGTTCTGGCCGCAGTGCTTCCGGTGTGGCCGTGTTCCCCTTTCTTGGACCCCCGGTGGGTCTCCATATTCGTGTTTAGGGTGGAGCGGGTGCTTTGTGTTTGAGAGGAAGGACGATTGTCCCTCTGGATCCATGATGTGAAAGATTATTATGTTGCAGCTGCGGCCTGCCTTTCTTCCTCTAGCAAGGAACCCAAAGCAGTTCGCAAGGTTCTTTGTTCTGTCCTCACAACCACAACCCTGTGAGGGAGGTTAGGCCGAGAGCCTGTGCCTGGCCCAGAGTCGCCCAGTGAGCTCCATGGCCGAGCGGGGGCTCGAACCCGGACCTTCCTAGCCGCAGTCCAACACTTTCTCCACTGGGCCGTGCTGACTCAAAAAACCGTGAGTTGGAGCTGCTCTTGTTGTTTGTCCGCTGAGGAGGCTTTGCAGATGGTGGCTGAGCCTTGGCCTGCTGTGTGGGACACGCTCTGTTCCCTCAGAGCCTTGTCTGGACTAGAAAGGTCAGCTGAGGGCACTGTAGAAAACGTCCATCCCTTGCCCACTGGGAGTGCTTCAGAGTAGCTGGCTGAACTTGTCTGTCGGGACGCCTGCCTGCCATTCTAATGTGTATATTTTAATTTATGTGGTTTTAATTTATTGTTGTAAGCCGCCCCGAGGCTTCGGCGAATGGGGCGGCATTAAAATGTTTTAATAAATAAATAAATTCCTTTCCTTCCGATAAGCTAGAGAACTCCAGAACACAGGACATAAGCAACACTTTAGAGGAGAAGTGCTTCTATTAGCCTTCCCCCGCCTGGTCTTCTCCAGATGTGTCCACCTTACCCCTAATCCTATTGTCCAGCACATCTGGAGGGCACAAGGTGGGAGAGGGGTGCCTTATGTGATTCTGCTGCAGGACCTTTCTGGGGTTATTTATTTATTTAGAATATCTTTATCCTGTCCTGTACAATCCAATTGTCCCAGGACAGCCAACAGTATAAACAAACAATAAATACACAACAATCAAAAATACAATAACAAAACGCGACTGAGAATATTAAAACCAAATTAAAATTATTTCAACCTTAACATACTGGGCGAACTGAAAGTTTTAACTGATTTAATTCTTGACATTCTCTTTCAGTGGCAGGGTATTTTGGAGTGGGGCTGTTCCTCTTTCCTGTTTCAGGGGCAGGCGATGCAGGGGACTACGCGCTTGGGCCCGCTTGTGAATCCGACCACATCCCAGCTCCAGCCCGGCCTCCCGAAGTTCCCCACTCCTTAATTGTACTTGCAGTCAGCTTCTATATTTGTCTGCTGCTGTGAGTGAGCAGGCTCTGGGTTATATAGGATGCAATCCCATCCCTGTTTTGCCAAAAAAAGGCCCAAAATACTGAGTCTTTTCCAGTCAGCAATGGGCAAACGGCATGGTAAGATCATGCGCAGAACAGGATCAAAACACCAGAGCACGTGGTAAAGCACCACACGTTAAGGAGTCAGAGAAAAAACACAACAACAGTAGAACATAAAAGCAACATCAATTCAGCTCTGGGACTTTTGGAAGGAGAGATAAACCGTTTTGTCTTCCAAGTGACTTCTCCTTAATTTGATTACCTCAGCTCAATTATCTGCTGACGGACGAACAGATAATGGAAGATCTGAGGACACTCAATAAGGTAAGAGCTTGGGGTAGATGTTTTATGGGGATCAGGAGAAAGGATGGACAGTATTAATTCTGTCTCATCAAAAGGTAATGCTAACCAGCCCAAATCTGATCTTGCACAGGGCTGAGTCTCCTCCTAGATAAAGTAGCTTTTCTGAGGTCATATTTAACCCAGGAAGCCCCCTGCCAATCTGCCCACCTTTTTCTTTTATAATGCCCAAACCTCTTCTAGCTCCAGGGCCAAATTTCCCATCAGAGAAGTTCATTTAGGGGGCTGACAGAGCCAAAGGCAAAAAGGGCTAGTCTCTTAGGGGTTTTAGCCCTTCAGGTTTAGACGTTGCAAAGTCCTTCAAATCCCAGCATGTCCCAGGCAGCATGTAATGGTAAGACTTTATTTTCTGTCTATGCATGTATAGGTTTGCCATCTTAGTACTAGTAACTAGCTTTAGGAGATACAGTTCAACCTTTTAGAATGGGAAAGCAATGCAGGAAAACTGGGAGTAATTGGAATTACAGGCCAAAACATCTGGGTGAGTACATGTTCCCCATCTGTATTTCCTCGACATCACAGAAATGGTGCCTTAAAATAGATAAAAGTTGTTGGATAAAGATTCCAGCATGCAGGCTGACCTTACCAGACGTTCATGGCCTGCACCTCAACAATTAGATCAACTCTCACTAATTCAGCATTTGCCGGAATATTGGACTTTGGGGCAAGGATTTCCATTAGTTATAAGCATCTGAGAGAAACTGCCAGTAATCTCCTGAAAGCCTCAGAATTCATGAGACACACTAGACTGCGCATTCGGTCAGTCTTGTGCACCTTGGGGCTGGGTCTAACTTGTCTGCCGCTCCCAGGGTAGCAGGCATTCTCTTTGGATGCTCATCAAGAATGTCCTGGTCAAAACCAAATGCATGTGGGGAAAGTTTTCTGTTGCTCCCAAGAAAGGGGAACGTTTCCATTGGCTATTTCTGTGGAGGAGGAGAAATTCCCGGACGGGGACCCTGAAGGCCATTGCAGAAGACAGCAAGGCTCCCTGGCTTCCGTGAGCCTGACAAAGCGTGCCTGGACAGCTGCAGTTACATCATTGCCCAGGCTGAGCCAGTCGAGCCTATTGATTCATTGGGGCTCCCATAATAGATCTGATTGAGAACTGTAGATGATCCTCTTTGTTAATATGTCCAGTGTCTGGAACCTAAAAATAAATGTGCACTTTGACCAACTATTTCTCAACACAGTTCTGTGACCTTGCACTTCCTGTAAGCCACTGAAATAGCTTCCCTGTTCTTCCTTTTATAGCTTAAATCGCCAAAAAGACCAGGTAAGTGCCTTGTCGGCATTTGAAAAATGTTTCCGGCCCTGGTGATGGGTCTGTGCTTGATTAAGATTGGACTTGGATCATAGGGAGGGGCTGGAGCTCATGAGTAACACACCTGAACCGGATGCGGAAGGATCAAGCCTGTGATTAAAAGGATGCTGAGCAGCAGCCGATGGAGGAAGGATTTTGCCCGCCGGCTTAGAGAACGGCTGCCAGTCGGGGTAGCCAGGACTGAGACAGCTGGTCCAGTCGACATTTCTGAAATTCTTGCTTGATCACACAGCAGCCTTTGAACTTCAGGGAAGGGGCAGGCATTCCTGAGCAGTGGTACGCCTGAAACCTCTTGCTCAAGCTGGGAGTTTTGCATGGCCGTTTCTGACTGAGTTTGCCCCCGAACACTTGCACGGTGTCCAGGGGAAGTAGAAGGCCAAGAGGGGTGAAGTGGGAGCTTAGCTAAGTGTTCGAGCACTCGCTTTGCGCTTGTTGGGTCCCCGGCATCTCATGGAACAGGGTTAGGAAGAACGTCTGGACAGTAACTGCCAGACAGTGGCCAGTGTGTGTATCGAGCTGGATGGAGCAGCGGCCTGAACCTACGCAAGAGCTCCGCCCAGGGGTGACCACGTACTAGAGCGTTCCGTCTCCATGCGCGACGTGAGGTCCTGCTCTTAGGGCTGCACGCCTCTTAAAACTGTTGATCGAGTTCACTCTCCCGTTCCAGCGTCTCCGTCCTCGCCAGAACATCTGCCAGCAACACCGGCTGAATCTCCCGCACAGCGATTTGAGGCGAGGATAGAAGATGGCAAGCTTTATTATGATAAAAGATGGTAAGGCGTCAACATTAGGGTTTCAGTCTTAAAAAAAACACAGTGGAGTAGAGGACAAGATAGTTGTCACTCAGAGGGCTGTTCGGGGGGGGGGCAACTTGTTCCATCTCCCAGACCACCCACTTGGCCTGCAAACGGTCCCAGGTTTTTAAATATTACTATTCTGATTACAATTCTGATCATTACTTTGCATGTATAGCCCGCCTTTTCTCTTGAGAGGAGCCCAAGGCAGCTTGCTTAGCTCCATTTTATCCTCGCAACAACGGCCACGGGAAACAGGTTAGCCTGAGAGTGACTGGCCTGAAGTCGTCACCCAGCAAGCACCAGGGCTTTTGGGGGACTCGACCCGTATCTCCCAGTCCTACACTCCCAACTGCACTGACTCTCGGCATGCCCAGAGAGGGTTGGGAAAGTGCCCTGGACGAAGCCCTGTCTTGCTGACTTGCTGCTCTGTCGGGGTTTTAGAATACAATACCCGGCATGGGTGCATACCCTGGTTATTCACTATATCAGCGAGGATGGTGGAGCATCAGGCTGGGAAGGGCTGCAGTAGAGGCTGGTCGGGCCAGCGGTTCACTCAGAAGGCGGCAGTGCCCATTTTCCCTGTAAAGGGAGGTTCTCGTCTGATCGTGGGTCTAGACCAGTTCCTGAGCTTGGCGGTCCAGATGTGTGGGATGCCAGCCTCTGTAGGCTCGCAGGGGTTGTAGTCCAACACGTCCAGAAGAGCCCAGGTGGAGGAAGCCCAGGCTAGAAGTCCAAAATGAGAAACGTGTGCTCTCCGTTTCCTTCCCCTTCTCTCCTCACTTTATCCAGCTGGGCCTGGATTTGTTTCCTTGATTTGTTGCCTTCTATCTAGTAGTGAAAAGCCAAGTGCTCCCCAAGCCGTGACAAGAGTAGGCCTCTACTGCCGGGGCTGAAATGTTATTGCTTGGGCTCCCAGCTGGACCACAGCCCTTTGAGTGAGAAGATCACCTGTTTAATCTCTGGCATCTCCAGGCAGAGCAGGAAGAAGACCTGCCTGAAGCCCTCGAGAACTGCTGTGGGTCAGGCAAGGTTGCCAGTACCGGGCAAGATGGACCAAGGCTCTGGCTTGGCCCACAGCAGCTTTCGGTGTTCCTCGTACAGTTTCGCGTCCTTTGGCCAACCATTCCGATACCATTTGAGCCAAGAATGAGTGTGCTTTCTGCGCAGCACACGAGGCAGCCTGCAGTGGAGAGTGGGCACTGGGAGAGCTTAACCTGCCCCAGTGGCTGCAGACTCTCCTCCGTTTTCTCAGGAAATGGTCGATGGGGGAAAAATACCCACGGCCTGCTTCTGAAAGGTAGCAAATCAACACACACACCCAGAATGTTGATAGGTTAAGAATTTTCAGTTAAAGCCTACATGCCACCAGGTGGCAGGATTCAGTCAAAAGTAATTTTGCATTAGAAGGTGGAAGGCTTTTCGCTGCCCTGCTCAGCAGTGCTGCACCGTTTTTCAAGTTCACACATTTTTATGTTTCATTTATTTACTTTGATTTTGTATACCACCTATTCCCAAGGCTCTGGGCAGCACAGAAGAGATTAAAACCAATAATAATTAAATTTTGACTAAAGGCAAGCATATATATCTATATATACACATGAAATCTATAGAATGCACTCCCCAGGGAAGTTATTTGTTTTTCGGCGCCAGGCAAAGACCTTTTTATTCAAACATTATTTTAATTGTTAATATTATTTATTTATTTTATTCTTTGGCCAGGGTGACTTAATTTATATTAATTTATATTGTTCATTTATATTGTTTTATTGGATTCTATTTATTTATGGTTGTGAGCTGCCCCGAGGCTTCGGCGAATGGGGCGGCATAGAAGTCCCCTAAACAAACAAACAAACAAACCTTGATGTTGCACCTTTGAAATATTGAGTAATTCTGAGTGTTTTTTTATTAGGCACACCCAGTGGAATTAGGATGGTCTTGGGCTACATCCCCTGGTACGCCAGTGGAACCTTTCCCCCGCCTTTTGTCATGTGCTGACCTGGCAAGCCCCTTACAAATCTTGTGGGATCCATCGTTTTGCGAGTGGCTGTGCCAGTCATCCGGCTCTTGCTGGATCAGCTCTCTTCTCAGGAAGTTCAAGGCAAGAATAAATGAAGGGAATCTGAGCTTTATACTGCCAGCAAGTTGGGTTGGTAGCATAGTCTCTGCAATCACGAACTTGAAAAAAGCCCATCATTACGCAGGTGCAAGGAGAGCTGTGGATTTGCATTTGTGGAAGAGTATTATTTTATTATTCTGTGGATTTATGTAGCACTTGCCATATATAAAGGGTATCGCTAAGCTTTATTCCTCCATGACATATAGAAAGCCATTTTTGAATGTGCCAGTATATTCCAAAGTAGTTTGGAACAGTTTTGGAAGAAAAGCATGGCAGCTGCCACAGGGTGCATGTCCAGACCGCAGCTCCTCTTTTCGGATCTGGGCTAACGACTTTATTCCCAAGAAGTCCTCTGGTGGAGGTGGGTGGGGGGTTTTCTGTGTCAGCTTTCTCCAAGCTGTTTTGCATTGTGACTCATCAGCCTGAGTCACAATGACCAACAGTCGAGGAAATGGGAATTGTAGCTCAGGAGATGTGGAAAGCACCTGGAGAAAGCTATCCAGTTGGATTTAAGGACTTACTCTTTAAAATGCCCACAAAGCAAAAGTCTACAGTCTAAGTGAAAATGCTGAGAACAGCTGCGATTTTCGCAAAAGTGTACAGGCCTTCACGTATTTGTTATATGAAAAGTGTCTACAGTTGTAAACAAATTGGTTTTGAAGGGTCTTCTTGCATCCTAAACCTATTATGTACTCTCTGTCTTCTCTGCTGCTTTTCAAAAAGTTTGAGACCATAAACCAAAACTCTGACCTAGAAAAGTTTACATTAAGTTTGGTTACAGAAAAAAAACCACCTTATTTCAATCCATGGCAAGAATAATTCCTGGCCTGGACTGATACTGTTTACCCTTCTTCCAAAGACCTTAGTTTGTCCCATGTTATCTCCCCCAGGATCTCTATAAAGTAGCCAAATGCTCTTATCTACTACAACCCTGATGGGATGCAGGTCATCTTAGCTGAAATGTGATTGTTTAATTTCATTGAGTATTTTACTGTTGGGCATTTTGCTTTCCCTTTTGGAGCTCTTCTGTTCCTCAAGATCAACTCCAAGACTTGTTGTAATTTTTTTTCTTTTTGTAATAACGCCTCAGCAAAATATTAATGATGTAACTCATGGGTGTGGGAGGGCAGCTTTTAACTGCATATTAAATTTTCCAAGCTATTTTGTGTCAAGAAAGAATGAAACCTGCTTGCTGAGGTTTGAACCAGATCTCTCTTGCTGATGACAAATGGATAAGGGCCAAATATTCCAGAAGAACAAATGCTTCAAGTTAGGAATGGACTCGCTGTGGTCCTTTAGTGGTATTTGGCAGATTTCCTCCTTTGAAAAGGGCAGCTCGGTGGCCAGATTTCAACCCCTGCAACGTTTTGATTGAGGTGTGGTTTTGCACCTTCCACTTTGCCCTGATTTATAGAGAACGGCAGCTCGGCTTAAAACAGCTGTGTGTGAGACACGGAGTCAGGAGTGGGACATGCGAGACGGTTATAGAACTATGAGTGCAGTGTTGATGCAGAGTTGACGGCGTGAGTGGAAATGCCCCCTTCAAGACAGCTCTCGTGGGCATCGTCCACGCCTCCCCCAAACGCAGCAGCTCTGGCTTACCACATTTTGGAGCAGATGAAGCACACACGGCCCATCTGGAGAGTGGAGAGGCCATTAAGCCCAGAGCCCCAAATAAATGCAGTATCCCACTGCCTCCCTACCTTCCTTATCTTGCCACACCTTTGTCCTCCAACAAACTTAATCTGTGGTGGATTCAGCAGAGTCCAAAGTACGCCAAATGGCCTGCTATTAGTACAGAGCCAGGCCTGCAACTCCCATCATCCCTAGCCACTGCCAAGGGATGCTGGGGTTGTGGGCCAGAACATCTGGAGGGAGTTTGCCACAGCAAATTGTGGCAGGCACTGGCCACTGTCTCAAAGGGCTTCGAAGGATCTGGCCTGTTCATAGCGAGGAGGTCTGCTGATGCCTGTTGGCTGTACGAGCCCCCGAATGCAGCCCCCAGGGTTTCAGGGCAGTGTGTCTCTGCGCGCCTTGTGGCAGGGAGCAAAGGGAGCCGCCCCTCGCAGCTTGCTCGCGTGCTTTCCCGGCGGCCAGACTGGGCGCTTGCTGCTTTGATCCAGCAAAGACGGGTCTTAACCTTAGTGCCCGATGGTTCCTTGAACCATCCACCAACTTGGCTCGTAGCCATATTTCTCTCATAGCCGCCAGGAGTGGGAGCCTCTTTCCACTCCAGTGGGGCACTGGAAGCGTAAGGAGAGGGGTGGGCCCAAGTACCAGCATACTGCCGTGTTAGGGTACAACCCTGGGCATGTTTAAGCACACTGCTGGCTACTGAGTGCTAGAGGTTTTGGACTTCGGACCTCATCAGATCGTGTCCCACAGCTTTTAAGGCCAATAATTAAGCCTTGGGCGGGGCATTTTAGAATGGGATTGCGACTTTACAAAAGTAGATAAGCACCAAAGGATTGGTGGACATGGCAAAGAGGGCACAACCAAGATAGGTGTGACCCTTTGGAGTACCCCAGACGGTTGGATTTGCCCCCTGGGTCTGAGGTTCTGTACTCTTCCTCTGCTGAATGCACTTACTCCATAGCCACCTCCTCAACTCCTTTCCCTAGAGATTCCCGTTTTGTTGTTCTTCTATTTGATCACGCACATCCTTGCCGCTTTGTCCATCAACCTGCTAATCCCCACCATTGTGTAATGCACATTTATGCTGCCTTCCCACAGTGTGCAGTTGATTGGCAGTAATTAAATGTTTAAAAGCAGGAGGAATAATAATCGTGGTCTTAAGTAGGAGATGCCTGCCTGCGTGGAATGTGGTTATGGCTGCATATTGCTGAGGATCTCATGGTAAATCGCAGTTGCCATTGAGAAGAGGCAAGAAATGAGGATTCACCCTCACGCGGGGAGCTAGCGAGCCAGCGCTTGATTAGCAAGCTGCCTCCTCGCAGCGGCAGAGCCCCCGCCTCAGCTGTGACAAGTTGCTCCGGTCTTCAGAAGCCATTTATCGATTAATTTATTACATTTCTATACTGCCCAATTGCTGGGCTTTTTGGGCAGTTCACAGCAATTAAAACCATGAAATGCGTGATAAAATGGACTGTAAAAATTTAAACCTACACTATAAAAGCCTCCTCTCCCCACGCAACCATCTCCTCTCCATTCCTTTGAGGAGTCAAACATACGCAGGGATTAAAGAAAGTCTAGACATTCAGGGATAGTCACACTACCACAATTTAAAATGCAGTTGAGGATTTCAAACAATAAGACTCTGGGACAATAAAAGAGCATGGCATAGGCACTTGGTGACGCTCTTTCGCTGCTAGTCAGCATGCACCCGGATTCCTTTGGCAGCGGCTCCCAGAGAAGGGCTGCTGGATCAGTTCAGGCTCCAGACAGGTGTATATGGAGGAGCCTGGCTCTGAGCCCTTGAGGGCACTGAATGTTAATACTTTGCATTGGGCCTGGACATGGGCTGGCAGCCAGTGCAGGTGGCAGAGTACAAGCCTAATACGATCATGTTGGCCAGTCCCCATTACTGATTTTTCTGCCCGGATTTGGTCCAGCTGGTTTCCTGATCATCATCCTAGGCAGCTCCATATATAACGCAGTGCAGTTATCCAGCCTAGAGACACTGAAGGAGGGCTCACTGTCGCTGGGCTGTCCAGGTAAGGATGCTGTTGGGAAAAGGCACTGCGTGCCACGGAGCCCATCCTTGCCTCTAGTGACAGCACTGGATCCAAGAGCGATGTGTACCAGATCCTTTGTGGGGGGCGGGGTGCAGCCCCCTGTGGAGCGCGGCAAGCGGAATATCACTTGCCCAGGCAGGCAAACCACCCGCTAACAGCATTTCTGCCTTTTGCGTGGTACACGGAGTCCAGAGGGAACTGGGGCGTTGTAGGGCCAAGCCTGCAGATACCCAGAGCACTTGGCTGTGGTCAAGGTTATAACGGCAGAGATAATGGTCATGACAGTCACTGAACTGTGTGGGTGTGATGGATTAAGGAGCCTCTGTTCCTTTTCGAGAGGCACTGGTTGGGCTGGTTTTTCCAGGTGGGACACAGGGCATTACAAGAGTTCATGTGGGGCTCACATGGCCTAAAAAATTTCCTTTCAGGTACCACAAGAGCCAGGCTATTTATCTGGAATCAAAAGAGAACACCAAAATCAGCTGCGTGATCAGCTCCGTGGGCGCTAACGAGGTAAGCAAATCTCCTCGAACTTTCGTCATGATTTGCAGGGAGCTGTCAAGCTTAAAGCAAGAATGGCCATCGGCTGGCCTGAAAATTTTTATTTATCATTTTCCTGCCAGCTTGGGCCACGCGTACACACTTTTTAAAAATAGCATCTTGCCTTTTCCCAGTTTGGGGATGGGTGCAGCTTCGGAACCAGATGCTGGCTTCTTAGCTGACTTCTTTCTGATTGGTTGCCTGGTAACAGCCAGTTTGGGGGCTGCTGGCCGAACTTCAGGGGCCGACAGGAACCATATTCAAGAACTATGCTTGAGTGTTTGTTTTCCAGTCAGAGCACCTTTTGGGATAATGCCTCTCATCTTAATGGGGTTGTTGCTGTACAGAAATAGGTCACAAGCTGCCCCTTGAAGGCCCTTCCACACCTTTGCTGGCCTCTCCATAGTTGCTTGTGAACCCACCCATTCTTTCCTGCCACGATGTTTTCCAGAATGGAAAGGATTAAACACCTATCACTCCATCAAGCCTTCGCTCTACCATGAGATCTGCCCATTGTGGACTGTAAACTTCCCTTCCTTTATAGGAGCTGGTATGGTCAGTGATATTGCTTAGCCTGTGCAGACCAACACAAGGAATCTTGGCTGACCTGCGTCAGATCCTGGCAAGTTACCAACAGTCAGAGCAGGCCAGGGGTGGGGGACCTCTTTCAGTCTGTGAGCCATGTTCCATTGCAGGGAAGTTCTTGAGGGCGGCATGCTGCTGGTGGGTGGAGCTAATGGCAGAAGGGGCAGGGCTAAACGGAAAGGGATGGAGCCAGAAAGACAAGGCACACCAGCATATGGTAGTTTAAAGCTCTTGGTGCCAGTAGCAAACTTGAGCCTTTGAGAATGGGGGAAAAGAGCACAAAAATTGCAAAAGCACCAAACCATCTGAGAGGCAGTTGAGAGAAAAGGAGTGGGACCAGTGGAGAAGGGCATGAACAGAAGGCTCAGATATGGCTCCCAGGTCTGAGGATCCCCTCCCTGAACTAGACAGTTGTAAGTTATGTCGGATCAGCAGTCTAAGCCAGCTGCCACTCTGTTACACCTGCCTCTTTAACGCAGCTTTAGGCGTGACCTCATAACACCAGCTGGATGATGGGAAAACAGATGTGCAGTTTTAGGTGCAGCGTGTGAATATGACCAGCTTGTGTTCCTGCAAGCATGCACTGCACTGGTCAAAAAAGCACCATGACCTGCAGCTTCTGCCTAGTATAGGCTTGGCGACAAACCTAAGTTTCCTGCCACACAAGGTCTAAAACGCCCCTTTCATACACAATCTGTCATCTTATTGGAAATCAGTGTTAATGAGCTGTTTGGATGCAGGGAGGGAGGGGAGTGGGAAGATCGAGGAATATGTACAGGGTGGGGGGAGGGATTTGACAAGAAGAAATGGCTCCAAAACAGCAGGTAGAAATAGCTAGAAATTGTGGCAGGCAAAACGCCCGTTTTCACGCTTTGCAACAGAGCGAGAAAAGGGGCTGGCAATGTTGTGTAAAAAAAACGCTTTGAGCAAAATAGCTTCTAACAAGTGGGCAATTGAAAGGAAAATATTTTGTATTGCTTGCTCTGGCTGTAAATTAGGGGCTGCTATTCAAAGCATCTTTTTCAATTAATAATGGGACCAGTCAAAGAGATGTCATTCTCTTCAGTGGGTGATTATTCAAATGAGCAAGCCGTGTTGTACCAAGAGATGCATTAGAACATAACCTTAAATCAAATTTAGCAATTTCACTCTTATTAGCATTAACAATGAGGAACTTAATGTGGTTAGGTGTCCGCATAATTGAAATTAAGTCCTAGCTTGTCCTAAAGCCAGAAATGGGCTTAAACTCTGGGTGGAGGATTTCTCTGGAGTAATCCAGTTTAAGCAGACATCGCTTATTTCAAATGTCGGTTTTGAGAAAGGCGTTAAGTTTCTTTTATTTCAGTTGGAAAGAAATAAAAACCTATTGCGGTAAAGTAGAAGAGAAGTTCTAGCTCAGCAGTTAGCATGCAAAAGATAAGCAGGTTCAATGTTCTGTATCTCTGGTGGACATGATAACACAGCAATAACTTTCCCAACAACTTTGGAGAGTTTTTACTGCTGCTACTCCTAGGAGCCAACAGCCTCATGTGTGTTGGCTACTCTAAGTAGCTTCGTGTGTGTGCAGGGGTCTCTAGTTTTTTGGGGCTGGTGGGCACGATTGCAATGTCAGGAGAATATCATGGGTGCTCTCACAAAATGGTTGCTATGTGACATCGTGGGACTAGCGTATCCATCAGTTGGCTGTGGGCAGGCGCAGAACACCAGTTTCCCAGAAGGCAAACTGGTGAAGCCAAAAGCAAGGAAACTTGTCCAAGGAGCTAAGTACAAAGCAGAGACTTGAGATCCAAAACATAAAGACTTTTGTTGAATCCAGATAAAGAGGGTGCTGGAAGGCAGCTCTTTACCCTGCAAGAGGCCAGCCTCCCAGTTTGAAGAACCCTCAAAGATCAAATAGAAAATCAAGAGTGGCTGGAGAAGGGTCACTGGGAGCAGAGTCTGGAGGCACATTCGGGCCCGTGGGCATCACACCATACACCCCATTCTGTGTACAAAGTGATCTCCGACACCTGGGGCCTGTGGGTGGCTGCCGAGACCGCAATGACCCACTGCGGAGTTCTGCTCTGGTGTGGCTGTCCAAGCAGCACAAAGCACCCGAATTTGGCTGCTTGCCACGAGTTTTTCTGGGGCGCTGTGGGAGATGAAGTGCGGCTAAAATTCCCCAGCCAAGCATCACTTAGAGTACTGTCAGCCTGCGAGGTCCCACTCACCGAGGAGGCGGCCCCCTGGAGAACTCCTCGCTAGCTCTAGTTGGGAACTGGCCCTGGGGAACAGTACCCCTTGCTCCCGTTTTGCACAAAAGAACTGCCCACCATTGAGAATCCAAGATGCAGTATGGTTGTCAGAACTAGCCCCCTTAAAGTGAGGATGCGCAGGTGTAGTCCAGAGAAAGGTATTATTACCTGTGTTGCATGTAAGTACTTCAGTGTCCTTCATTCCATTTTTTGGTAATGAATTGTAGAGCAGTTCTGCTTCCCAGAATGCTCAGAAGGGGCATGGAGCTTTATTGACTTTAGACTTCTGACTTCTCCATCTCATAAAGCTTTTCTTCTCACCCTGTATTTCTGTCATTTTTCTATTTATCATTTTTACGCAGATCTGGGTGAGGAAAACCAGCGACAGCACAAAAATGAGGATCTACCTGGGCCAGCTCCAGCGAGGGGCTTTTGTGATCCGCCGGCGGTCTGCTGCATGACGCTCTGCACAGGCGGCCCCCCGGCGTGTTAGACAATCGGCCCTTGTGAAGACCCGTGGCTGCTCTTCTGGGTTTCCATGGCAGAGGACGTTTGTTGCCTTCCCCCCTTTGGGAGCTGTCTGCCTGCTGCCCGCATCATTCCAGCTGTCCTCGTCTCCCTCGTGAGCCAGGTGCCTCCCTCGGGCCTGGTCTCGGGCTTTAGATTAGCTTTTGTGTTATCCAAAGACTATGTAAGGCGAATGTATGCCAGTGTCCTCGACCTTTCCATTCTTGTATCATGAGAAGAGTCCACGTGGTGTTTAACCTTTGCATTTGAACAGCGCCGGCACCACTGCCTCGAGGAGTCTCCCTGGCAGCCCACAAAGCTGAGAGGCGCTGGCTGCGCCGGAGGCGGATGGGACGGTTCCAGAGCCAGTGTGTGACAGTGCGGACCCAAGGGGAGTGTGAGGCATTTTCTCAAGGTCCTGCCGTATCTTGAAATTCCTCGTTGGTTTATAGAAATGTGTGGTTAAGGGATCTCACTCTGCAGCGATTCGGGTTGTTTTGTAGCCGATTGCAAATCCCAGTAGTGGGTAAGGCGAAGGCTGTTTTTCTTCAAATGTTGTTTCCTTGCAGAAGGTGAGGCAGAGGAGCGCCGGGGTTGGGGAAGGGAAGACACCGCTGATGCTTGCTGCGTGCCACAAGGCCTGCTCCTTGCCGTCCTGGCCGTGGCTGGTCCAGCCAGGAGAGCCTTCTGGCCAAACGACGTACTCCTTGCGAGGCCTTGACTTTGTGCGCAGAAAGCTAGCATCCCCCCCACAAGTGTATGGAGTGAGAATTGTTCTTGGATCCCGATGGAAAGTGCAGTGCCGACATTCAGAGTGTGCTGTAGCGTTCATCTGACTGGCTAGTCGCGGCGAAGTTGCTTCCAAAACATTTTTTATCTCTCCAGTCCGCTGAGTGCTGTCTCCTTTGTCCCTGGCCATGTAACCCGGCTGTGCCACTGGCTGGTGCAGCGCCTCAGGCCCAGACGCCCCTAGTGCACGTGCAGACTGCAGAAGAGCTGGGTCTTTCGGCTCCTTGCCGGCACGTCGGCACCTTCTGGGTTGGCCGCAGCGATCCTTCCTCGTTCCACACAAGTGCGCAGCGTGTGTTGTTTGGCTTCCCGTCTGCTGCCGCCAGGGGGCAGCCAAACCTCAGCGGATCCGTCTGCATGAGAATCCCTGCCCAGCCACGTGCCCGCTGTCCTCTTCCACATACTCTTTGAGAAGCTTCTTTCTAGATCCATTCCTAAGGGACAGCCTGAAACGCCCCGTTTTTGGCCCGGGGGGGGGGAGCGCTTGTATCTTTGCTTAAGCGCTGTGGGTCCGGCAGCGACTTGGACACAACTGAGGGGGAAGCAAGGTATGAAGGTAGTTCTGAAAAGCTGGAGCGCGGAGGAGGCGGCCTGACGCTGCAGCAGGCCATCAGCCGGCTCAGGGCCATCTGTGCGGACAGGCAACAGCTCTCTAGTGCAGCCTTCCCAAACCTGATGCCACTCCAGATGTTTTGGACTACACTTCCCATCATCCCTGCCTATTCATTAGCCGGGGTTAGTGAACATTGTGTGCATTGTGGAAGACACCGGATCGGGGGCAGCGGCTCTACAGCAGTGATGGGAAACGAGGCCTCCGGGCTGGGTCGGGCCCTGCAGGGTTCCCTGGGCAGCAGCAGGCCCTTCCCAAGGCCCCGATCCTTCGCCCCGTCTTCCGGCCATTGCCCAGTTGCTTTGTTTCCTGCCCTTTGCACACGCGCCTTCCTGTTCCGCAAGGTGCCACGCTTTCCCGAGGAAGCACTGGGGCAAAACAGGCTGGTGCTGGAGGATGGATTTTGGGGGAGGGGTAATAGAGTGGTAGGCTGACGCTGCCCCTTTGGCTTTTGTCCCGGTCTGCACCCCGAATCTGGCTCCTGAGAACTCCCCCATCTCAGAGGCAAGTCCTGACTCGCCCTGCGGATGTTGTGCGTCGAACCCACAAGAGCAGTGCATGCGCTGGCCCTCCTGGCTTGCAGGGCAACAAGGTGCGTGCACATCTAGGGTTTTTTCTTGTGGCCTCTTTGCCGTTCAGATAACAGGATCAGGGTGCAAATAGACAGTTCCCCCTTACTGCACCGTTCGCAGTTATTGATAGGGGGAAGGAGGGTCTTACAGGATGGCTAAGCCTGCGGAACCTGTTCTGACAGCCGCTGCTACAGGGAACTGGAGACCTCTGGCCCCGCAGTGGCTTTTCGCTGGCTGGGATGTTAGAGGTGCCCCTGCCGCTGCGTTTAAATTTACCTGGGAGATGCTTTTCCTATGGACGTCCTCTGCAATCATGGCCCTCCAGAGGGTTAAAAGCAGAGTCGGATTGGACTGAGCGCAGCGGTGTGCTGCCAGTAGGGATGTATGGGAAATGGGTTTCAGTTCCTTTTTGATCCGGATCAACCCAGTTCACACCACCTGCCTCAGGCACAATCTGTGGTCGAAGTCCACACAGTTCCGAGTTTGCGACAGAGTTTCTCCATGAAAAATAACAGGTTCGGTTAGCATGCTCACATTTTAAAAAATGCACATGGAAAAATGCATACATTGAGGCTTCCCTCAAATCCATGCAGATCAATGGGAGATGAAAGCCTGCCTTTTATAGATGTGTACAACTGATGCATACACTGGGACTTTTGCTCTTATATAAGTTTGGAAAAGTGGCTTAGATCCGTGAAGCACGTGGTAGGGAGAGCCCTGATTTTCATTCCTTCCATCTTGGTCATGAAGTAAGGCCCTATTCAACCTTGGAATGATTGTTGGCACAAATCTGATTTGGGTGCAAAGAGTGCCAAGAAAATGACAAGTTTTACAGCAGCATGGATCAAATTCTGCATGCAAGGGAAGATGCAGATCAGTAAAGCTCTTGCAGCTTTGCAGCATAAACATCTTTCAAGCACCCACCGGGTCAGATCTCAGTCATGGAAACGGTGCGCAGTGCTTTGAGACAAATCCAGCCGCCTGAAAAAGCTGCTTTTCCTTCCGCTTTGCTAACCGTTCTTGCCGTCTTCTCTCCCACCCTGCTCCCCCACTTCTGCAAGAGGAGCAGAGCAGTAGGCATTAAATCGCAAGACCCCTCTGCTAGGTTAGGAGTCTTGCGAGGAGTCTGAGCTCGCTCACCCAGCTTCACAGATGATTTGCGGGTATGAGCACTGGCTTCCTTCCCCCTAGTCTGAGTCAAGGGGCGGGTGCAGCAGCTGCTTGGACATCCCCCCATATAGCTAGGAAGGAGCCCTGCCTGAAACTTCCTGGGGAGCTGCTGCCAGTCCGTGCCGACAACACTGGGTTGGGTAGACCAAGGCTCTGACTGGGTGTCTGGGTCTGCACCACAGTGAGCAGCCGTGCGTGGTTCGCCTGGCCTGCAGTTTTTTTACCGCAATGTGCCAGGGTCCTTCCTCCTGCCATCTTCCCCCTCGGTCTTCCAGAAGGCACTGCAGGGGGGAATGAGGCTCCGTTCTTTGACAGCTGTGATTGCTCTTTGAAAGAGCAGTGGAGGGAATCAGAGGAGTAGCGCTGATACTGCAGAATTCTGTTGCCTGAAAGATACTGGGTTTCCTGGGGGGGGGGGGGGGAGTTTCCAGTCCTTCATAGTTGTAAAGTGATGCTCGCAAACTTGGAAGCAGTGGTGGGGGTCCTGAGCATCTCACATAACTGCTTATCCCGTCCCTCTAACTGGCAAAACAAATTGGGTAAATTTTCTTAACAGGTGCTTGAGTTCTACCCGCCCTGGTGCAGAATTTACCATAGTTGCCTGAGTACATAATTTTAATAAATGCTAGCACAGAGTATGCGCCCGCCTCAATTCTGCGGAGGATGTTCTGTGGCAGACCTTAGGCTAGCTAGCTGCAGTGGCTGCTTGAAAGCCTAAACCTATTAACTAAAGCCAGTAGCCAAACTAGCCAGAAAGCAGAGGGGGACCAATTCCACAGTCTTCCCAGCCACCCTCTAGTTGTATAGCCTCCATCATCCCCAGCCAGGTCAAGCGATAGGGTGAATGGAGCTGCAGTCTGTGGGAGGCAACGTAAGGATACTCCACCAAGTCCAAATAAAAAGTACTTAGGAGTTACTATGGATTAAGGATTTGGACACACCACCCCCAACCTGCCCCAGCAGAATTCCACAACAACTGGAAAGACAACCAGTTAATGCCGGTACTTTATAGGTGAGGAACACTGAGGCCAAAAGAACGTTTCTTCCCAGTATGTCTGTCTCCCTTTAAGAGTTATTTTTTCCAGGGTGGCTCACAACCTACCAAAACTGCATCGTGTGCATCAGTTATTACAAAACATAGCAGAGCCCAGTGTGGTGCTGACATGTGGGACTGGGAGATGTGGGTTCGAGTCCCCACTCCATGAAGCCCACTGGGTGGCTTTGGGCCAGTCACTCCCTCTCGGCCTCGCCTACCTCACAAGGTTGTTATGAAAAAACGGATAAAATTGACTCCTCACAAGATGAAAAAAGGCAGCAGAGAAATGCAGTGTAATAAATGCAATAGCACATGTGAAACATCAACACATCGATACGCAGAGAACTGCTAAAAACAGTATTGATTGTATCAGGTGATTCAGCTGGAGGCTAGCCATGGCAGGGGCATTTTTGCTGCACTGCTGAGGATGTTACATTTATATGAGAAGTTACATTTGCACTGTTTAAACACAGTTCCCATTTCACAGCTGAAAGCGCTAAGACTGAGGTCATGGCCCTACGCGTGTTTTGACAGATCTGGAAAGCCCTACAGCTCCCAGCATTTCTTAGCTAGAAGGTAGAGCCTTTTTGCTTGCAAAGAATGCATAGGATTGCAACCCAAGGGACATAAAACGGCTTTGCGCTGAGTGAAGATGCACAAGATCACAGCCCTCCTGTCGAAATTGTTAAATACTCGGGAGTTGGAAGCCCTGGGTAACTTGGGAGGTGGCCTTGTATTGAATCAACCCCTTGGTCCATCTAGCCCAGTTTTGTTGACCCGGACTGGTAGCAGCCATCCCCTTGCTTCTGGGACCCATGCCAGGTTGCAGTTCCAGAAACCCAGCCCTCTCCCCTCCTCCCCACTTCGGCAGGGGAAGCCCATCCTTGCCTCCATTTTCCCCAGAGTGGCCAGGGCCATGCTTCCGGGAAACCAGCAGAGCAGAGCACAAAGTCGAGGGCCTTGCAGCTGATGCTCTGAGGCGCTGGTGCTGTGGAGCTGACCTGCAGCTCAGGACGTCAGAGCGCTAAGGTCACGGGCCAGTCACAGATCTAGCTATCTGTGGTGGACAAAGGAGGTGAAACGAGGCTTGGGTCTCCTGTGTCTGATGGTGACAAATCAACCCGAGAGAGGAACCAAGCACCACTGCCAAGATGTTTCCATTGAAGGGGTTCTGACTTCACATGAAGCCATGGCAAGAGCAGACTTCTTTGCAGAACGATCTGCATTTCCCATTCCAAGCCAAAGCCGGCCGAAGATCTTTTGAGTATTAGACGAGTGCAAAGTAAGCATCGCTGCGCTGAGTTGTGTTGGTGCTCAGTATGACTGGCTTGCGAAGTATGTGCGTGTATGTGTGTGCGCACACACGCACACGCCGCACTTCAGAACTGACCAGAGCATCACTGGTGGGGGAAACCTTTCAGTTCCCTGCAGATGTCGTCATGCAGAGCCAGTCCTGTCCACATCAAGGGATGCAGATGTGATCATAATCCTTACAGAGAATTTATGGGAGGGTCATCCTTGGACACTGTTTTGGCTAAGATTAAGTGACAGCTAAGCCATAACTACACATGGAGTGCAAAGCAATTGTCTAGTAGGTTGAAGGGGTGGATTTCAAGATCTAAGCACTGACATAAATCCAGGCATGCAGGATTATAAAATGGATTTCAAAATGATTAAAGCTAGTACAGAAGTAAAAACCTGGCCACG